CGCGCCCTCCGCGTCCTTCGCACCGCGCCGCACCGCTCCGCTCCTGAACGCGCCTCTACATAGGGATAACATGTAAATTGGCCGCTCCTTTCGCAGAAATCGCGTTTGGTGTGAACGCACCATTAGGCTCACTAAAAGTCCCCCTCAAACATCTGTTCACCTTAGGAGCTATCTTGAGGGCTGAGGTGCTTTGTAAATAACTTTCATCTTACAGGGGGAACATTCTAAGATTTACACTATATTCAGTTTTTTGAGTGGTACCTGAAAAGACATTAAAGGCAAGTTTAAATCCAACTTTAGATTGAAGTTTAATTTCAAGCTTTTCCCTGTTTGCTTTTAACCTGTGACTGACTTCCCAGTGTTGATCTAGGCTTGTCTGAGTCATAAGATGGAGGTACAGCATTCTGCATAAGTGACAACAAAACACCCTTCCAAACTTACGTCCAACCTCTTGAAAACATTTAACTTTGGTAACAACTTTGTGCCGCATTATTTCACACTAACGCTGTGTCATGTTTAGTTTATCACGCCACCAATAAGGTGAAACGTATGAGGATGCATTGTGGGTAGCGAGATGAGTTTAGACATGCTTTAAAATGTTATTCGAATCCGAGAACTTTTCAGGAACAAAACCATTTATTTACCTATTCGGTGAAGGATTATCAGGGGTATCCGGGTGAAATCCAGCAGTCTGAGCTGACCATCAACCTCTTCTTCGTTTTTGACAACAACATCCTTAAATTCCGTGAATGTTTCTTCAGCAGAAGTTAGCTGCTCGCTGCTAAGCTCTCTATGAAACTGATTGAAAGACATTCTTACCAAAAACAATTAGTTATTCCCCTCACAGACCACAATCGTTGTAAATAGCAGTGAACTGATTCTGCTAGCAAACACGATTTTCTTCTTCTTCGTCTTCGTCTTCTTCTTCTTTTGGAAAAGTACTTGTGTTTGGCAATGAACTAATTTGCGCACTACCGCCACCACTTGGTTCGGAGTGTGGATAGACAAAAATAATTAATGAAATAAATTAACCATAACGTAATGTAATCTTTCAAACAAAAAGTCTATGCATGTCACAATTGGAATAATTTTGTAGTACCTCCATAGAATCCAGCCTTTTTTTCATTTCATGCATTGTTTTGTTTTTATACTGTTAGCCCTGTAACAGGACATGCTCTAAAACCTCATCTTCTGAACTATCTCCCATCCCAGGGCCTCAGTAGGATATAGTTGTAAAATCTCTGTGTAAATACATGGCAGAAACAACAAAGCTAAACGGATAAGAACAAATTTTTGTTTGTGCACAAAAACTTGGCCATTCAAGCTGCTTTCAATTTTACGCAGATGACACAAACATTGGCTAGATACATAGAACAAAACATTGTGTGGATGTGCCACAATTTTCTTCAGTTGAATAAAAAGAAAACTGACGCAATAATTTTTGGACCAAAGTAGGATCGATCAGTTTCTATTGTTAGAAAACGTTGACATGGCTCGAAATTTGCGTGTAGTGATGCACTTAGTCCTGATCCTTCAGAGTCACATAAAGGCAATTACAAAGTCAGCCTTCTTTCCCCCGAAGAACATTTCCAGGATTAAAGGATTATTATCCAAGCAGGATCTTGAAAAACTCATGCAGGTGTTTCTTTAGTTGAATTGATTACTCAAACAGTGCAATTGAGCCAGAACGCTGCTGCCCAAATTCTCACTAAAACTAAGAAAGTAGAGTACAACACCCCAGTTTTAAAGTCCTGACAATGGCTTACTGTATCTCAGAGAATAGACTTTAAATACTTCTGTTAGTTTCTAAGTCACTGAATGGCTTAGCACCAAAAGAGATTAAAGATCTAATGCTGTTGTATCAGCCCTCCAGACCACTCAGATCGTCTGGTTCAAGTCTACTCTGCATACCTTGAACCAGAACCAAATATGGAGAAGCAGCATTCAGTTCTGAAACTCCACTTATCCAGAACAAACTCCCAGAAGATTGTAAAAATGCTGAAACCCTGAGTTCTACTAAATCAAGGCTAAAACCGGTTTTGTTTAGAGTTGCATTTGATTGTTCTATCAGTAGTCAAACTTGTCTTTACCTGTCTCTTATATGCCCCTGCAATGTACTTCTGTTTTTTCCTGTTATGTTTTATTCATGTAAAGCACTTTGAATTATCTTCTTACTGAACTGTGCTTTTAAAATAAACTTGCCACACAGTAATCACAATTTTCTGTATCAATTGTCTCTATAGGAAAGTGTCTTGTTTGAGCCTTTATCTAGATCTGATCTTTGATATAATCATTTCTTTATTGTTTTTTTTTGTGCTTTTCATATTTCCTACTTTTCTATAAATCATGTAAAACAAGCAGCACCTCATATCTTCCTCATACTATTTTTACCATCTTTCCCTCATTTTCTGCTTAATCCTCTTTACTTCTTCTGGACTGAACTTAACATATATGTATATTTTATCTACTCTTTTATTTCCCTGCACAGGCTGCACGATGGCGCAGTTGGTAGCACTGCTGCATTAGAGAAGGTTCTGGGTTCGACTCCCAGCCGAGGGTCTTTCTGCATGGAGTTTGTAAGTTCTCCCGGTGCATGAGTGGGTTCTCTCTGGGTACTCCAGCTTCCTCCCGCAGTCCAAAAACATGACTGTTAGGTCGATTGGTCTTTCTAAATTGCCCTTAGGTGTAAATGAGTGTGTGCGTGGTTGTGTGTCTGTTTTGCCCTGCGTTGGACTGGTGACCTGTCCAGGGTGTACCCTGCCTCCCGCACATAGACTGCTGAAGATAGGCACCAGCTTCCCCGCGACCCACTATAGAAGAAGCAGTAGAAAATGACTGACTGACTTTTATTTCCCTCAATGCCTAATGTGTGGAACCTGATTTTGTTTTGATGGTGAAAGAAGAAATTACCTTAGTACTTAAGCATGTCAGTGCAGTTAGAATTATGCATTATTGTCTCACCATTGGCAGCATCTTTGAGTGGAAACTAAAAGTTGAAGTTATCATGTTTTTCCTAAGTAAAACACAAGGTTTTCACAAATAAGTGAATTAGAAGGTGAAATACAGGTCCTTCTCAAAATATTAGCATATTGTGATAAAGTTCATTATTTTCCATAATGTCATGATGAAAATTTAACATTCATATATTTTAGATTCATTGCACACTAACTGAAATATTTC